TGCAAGTTTGAGTCCCGTCATGGCACCGTGTTGTATCCTTGAACAAAATACTTTACTTCCCTTGTTCCAGTCTACTCAGCTGTAAATGAGTACGTGGTTGGGCAGTGCTGAATTTGTTGAATGCTAGCTGTGAGCGCCTAAATGTCAGCACCAGCTGTATGCTCCTCAGGGAGTTGAGAAAGATATTGGCTGGTTGCAAAGGCCCAATAACCACGGATGATAATTTGTGAACCGCTTTGAAACAACCCACGACCTAGGTTTTTATAAAGCGGTATTTTAGAACCGCATTTAATTATTAATACTGTATAACATGAACTATTCGTCGGCGCTTTCTGTCGTGGCATATGGCCACCTAGATCGTTTTGTAGTTCAAACTTTTGTTGATATCAAATATAAACAAACAGCGGTCAAGGATATTAATCAAATTCGTTGCATTTATTTTCATGGTTCCATGTGCAACCACGAAAACCACAAATATTTATACACAGCGAAAATTTCATGTTTTACAGTATCATAGTATACATGGGATAAATACAAAACAAGAGACACTTGCTATTAAACAGATTGTTTTAATAAATTTTCAGATCATTGTTCGGGTGTAAGTTATATAAATACATGTGTTACAGGCCGTATCAGTCACAATTAAACCAATCTTCAATGGTGACATTGATCGTCTGACATGGTAACCATGACAACAAGTTTAAATTGTAATGGCAGCTATTACAGAGTCCCCCACATTACTCATGTTATCGTGCACAAATATAAAAAATAAGTCACAGTAGAGTTCATTGTGCCACAATACACCTAACGTTATATACCAAATATCTGTCCAACAGGTTAATGGAATTTGCATCACTGTTTCCAGTGCCGTAATAATGTACATACCAAATTTCGAACAATATCTTAATTTTTACCAATCAGAAGCTGTCAAATAAGTCCTTGGCAACCATCTTGTTCAATGACTAGACGAAAGACAAATGGACAACCAACATACCAAATTTTATTGAAATAAAATCTCGGGCGGCAGTTTTATATTTTTACCAGCTGTCAAAAGTCTGTTTATAGGAGCCATCTTGTTAATTGGTAAATGAACTTGCGGTACAGTTTTCAATGCCATAATACACCTACATTTCAAATTTGAGCAAAATCAAACAAAATATAGCTTCAGACCAACCACAAGCCAGTCAACAGTGGCCATCTTGTTGCAATGACTAAAAAAAATTTGTAATAATTTATAATAGACCTACATATCAAATTTGATTTGAGTCTGACAATATCTCAATTTTAACCAATCCGAAGCCAGCTTGCAGACACGATCTTAAATTTGGCCAATCAGAAGCCAGACTACAGCTGCCATTTTAACCCGTAGATGTTGACTTTGTGTTTTCACAATTGGAAAGTATCAGGTCCAACATCTCTTTCACCCACTTTCATTACAATCAACGAAATGAAACAAGAGTTACAGCCCGATTATATATGTATCGGCTGTGGTAGCCATGTTTGATGTCCATACCAGAAACAAGGTGGTGCAAAGAAATGATAGTGTATAATGGGAATCTTACGCCCAGCCATTCACCCTTTGCTGATAAAAATCCAAGTTCGCCCAATGTTAACTCATTCATCCCTGAAGACACATTTGAACTTTTCCAATTCAAAGGTTAGAATAGTTCATTATAAAATTTCAGGGGTGAATGTGTTAATTTCGCCCTTCACATGTAATTACTATATATTGCATGTTGTGTACTCATACTCGCTGTTTAGATAAATTCGCTCTCTTTGGAAGGGCAAAAAGGGAGAAAGTTAAACTGGCGAAAAAAATCCTAGTATACGGTAAAAAACACCACCAGTAAGCCCCAAACTCACTTGGGGGACTTCAAACTTCAATCAAAATTAAAAATGTGGCAAAATCAGTAAGTCCCCAAACTCATTTGGGAGGGTTCATTAACTTATCTCCTTACACAAATACACTTCAATATAAATGGAATGTCTTGGTTAAAATACTTTTTACAAAATAATTTGGCTTATTGGGAAAATCATTATATATATGTACAATAATTATTTAACACAGAGATATAATCAACAATTTATATTGTATATAAATAAATAAATGATACAAAATTTACATTTCTCTTTATACAAAAATATTAGTTTCTAATTTGCTTGCAAGATCATTTCTTATTTTGTGAATCTATTTTTCTGCATCAATACACAATGTAAGATTTCATGAATTCAATGTTAAAATAGTCGTATAACATTTGAAATCAATCCTATAAACTTAAGTTTTGTTGACAAAAAAAACGGGTAGGGGGTGTTTTCTTGAGAGATACACGCAAAGATACGACTATTTGATAACAGCATATAATTACTAAACCATGAAAGTATCTCTAAACAGAGATTTGACTAAGTAGTATTGCCAGGCAGAGATTAACTCATTCACCCCTTACTATAGTAAATTTCATAATGAACTATTCCAACCTTTGAATTGGAAGAGTTGAATAGTGTCTGTAGGGGTGAATGGGGTTAAGTAGAAAACCTGATTTAAGGACCCCCTTACCACTTGCAAAACATTGTATTTACGTGTTGGAAAGGGTAATTTTTTCAGCATTACTAGGGCTTTGATAATCATTTCTGAAAAGAAAAGAAGATACCTTCTAGGACTTTTTTGAGAAAAAAGAAAGATGAAATAATCAAAATATAATCAAGTGCTAAACAAAAATCAGCCAGTCTAAACCAGGATTTGAACACTGAACTTGAGATTGATATACTATCGCTCTATTCGTTTGAGCTACCGGGTCAACAGAAATGCCCTGGCCCAATGGTGCTACTGTTACATTCAAACGGAAGTTAGGGGAGGTAACTGTACATAGGAAAAAACCAGGATGCAGTAGAACAGGGATCCTTAAGTTGTTTTTCTGAACACAGTGATGTGGTACAATATTATAAACAGAATCAAACAATGTAGTCAACTCATTCACCCCTGAAATTTCATAATGAACTATTCCAACCTTTGAACTGGAAGAGTTCAAATGTGTTCTCAGGGATGAGTGAGCTAAAGAAGGAAAGACTTGATAGTGATTAATAATAATTAGATATATTTGCATGTCCCCATCAGAAATAACAGAAAATTTTGTTCAAATTCTAGATAAATAAACTAAACAACAAGGTATTGACAAAATTAGGTCATAGGAAAGGAGTGAAATAAAAGAGAACAGTACAGTATGTTGCATAAATAATATATTGCATCTAAACCGAACAACAAAGATTGGAAAACAGAAAACTGTATTTTAATAAATTTGATATAAATTAGAAAACTTATGAAGGTAAACATAACCAACGATTAATAATAAGACAATTGCACAGAAGATATTGAATATAAAAGAATTGAATTTGATGTAGTACCATTTTTAATATAATTGAACAAACTTAACAGATAAATAACCACAATAACATTCTTGATTCACAATGTTCTAGTTTCATTTTCTATATACATGTTATTGATCAAATTACAAAACTTTATTTACAAAGTCAAACCTTATTTTCATATAATGCCTATCTATATACACAGCACATTAGATAAATAAAATATTTACAAAAATATCTATGTGTATAAGTAATTGATCAAATGTTAAAAAATCCCAGTACAGGTAATAATTGATCAGTTCTCATAAAATTGTCTCTATCAAAAAAATATGTACAACATGCTCTGCATACATATATGCATCATGTAAAAATTATTCCACAACTTTCGTTTTCTATGTAGAATATATAGAACAGAATGAAAAGACTAGAACATTGAAATAAATTCTACAATGATTGATAACCTCTTGAATGAAAGACACTGAGGCATGGCTATACAAGAATCTTATATACATTGATTTTACTGGAATAAATACAGGTTAAAAGTATTTTTCTATTAAAATAGCACCAATTACATTCATAACTGAGTTACATATTCAATCATATCTGTTGCTACAGGTTTTAAATCTTTACCAAAAAAGTCTTGTAAATTGTTTCAATCTCAAATTGGGACATTATGATTGCCGATAGTACATGTACATGTATCCCCTATAAAATGAAAGTTGTCTGGCCCTCAAAGAACTAACCTTCAGGGTGGCCGTGTGGCGCACTTGCCTTTCTCTAAGGGAGCTGGGGTTCAATTCCTCAATAGGAAATGATAAGGTATTGGGTCAACTGCCCGACTATATTGGTTTTCTCCAGGTACTCCAGTTTCATCCCACATAAAGACCCTTTATCTCCGATTGTTTTTATATTTCAAACCTTTAAGTTGAAGGTATAAAATGTTGAGATTTTACAAAGAAAATTGATGAATAATTGATTATATTTGTTAAACGTTTTTTTTTTGGATTACTGTATATTTTCCAGATTTATATCCCAAATAATGATGATTTGGATATATATGTTATGTATTAAGTAATACTGATATATTTGCTTAAAGCAGTCATTTCAACTCCTGTGAGCTTAACCATACTACTTTACATAAGGTGCTGTTCTTCAGATTCATGTAATACGTTATATCTTATTAACTATGTGTACTTCAGGAAAGTGATCTTTAATTTTTACCAGCTAAAGCCAAGTATCTTATGATAAGCAGACAAAATCTTTAAATGTTAGTGCTTAATATTCCTGCACTTGTATACATTTTATTAAATAGTGTTTTATAAAAAAGCCTAATCAGGCTGGGTATCACTTATGATATTCTGCTTAACAGTGATAATATACATGTATTATCAATTTTGTACATGAAATGTAACACTTAAGGAGTCACGGTAGTCTAGTGGTAGGACGCCATGCTCGTGAGCGAAGGGTTGCAGATTCGAGTCACAGCACTGTGTTGTATCTTTGAGCAAGATACTTTACTCTGCTTGTTCCAGTCTACTCAGCTGTAAAGGAGTATGTGGTTGGGCAGTGCTGGAATTGTTGAATGCTAGCTGTGAGCGCCGAAATGGCAGCACCGGCTGTATGCTCCGCAGGGAGCTGTGAAAGATATTGGCTGGTTGCAAAGGCCCTATAACCACAGATAATAATTTGTGAACCGCTTTGAGACGACCTACCAACGAGGTTGTGATAAGCAGTATATAAGAGCCTCAAATTATTATTATCATTGTTATTATTACTAAAAATAAGGTTAAATTGATTGATTGATTTGCTATATATGTTATAATAATATGCTGGAACTGGGAGTCAGGGATATATACTTGTTTTGAAACGGGGATACAAACACCATACTACAATGCTTATAACCAAACTACGAAATAGCTTAATCAAAAGACAATTTTGTAAAATTTTAAAACATGTAAAACATTAATCAAACTTTATAAAATTTTGCTTCAATTTTAAAGATATTTTCAGTGAAGATAAGAAAATTAATATTGGCAACAGTAATAGCACAACCCAAAAATATTTGGAAACAATTTCCTACAATTTAGCTGTCACAGTCCTGCTGTGTACAAGTAGGGGTGGGAAAATGCACGGCCAGACCAGGGTTTGAACTCTAATTGGACGCTGTACCAGGTGAGCTACCTGGTTGTCGATGATAGACCGTAGTAGACCCAGTCCACTTCTGCTACATTCCTCCCTCCTATAGTTAGGTCTTTGACCCTGAAGACACACAAGACCCTATACCACCTTCCCCTGGGTATATTTTGTCGGGTGCTAAATGTAGTAGGAGCCAAAAATGCACGGCTAGACCAGGGTTTGAACCCGTGACCCTCTGAACTCTAGACAGATGCTCTGCCAATTGAGCTACCTGGTTGCTGACAATCGACCCAGTCTGGTTCTGCTACACAAGACAATGTTGTACAGAGTTTAATAGCACACCAGTATCCAGAATGTGTATTTATAGCGTCAATCACACAACACACCAGTATCCAGACTGTGTATTTATAGCGTCAATCACACAACACACCAGTATCCGGACTGTGTATTTATAGCATCAATCACACAACACACCAGTATCCAGACTGTGTATTTATAGCATCAATCACACAACACACCAGTATCAAGACTGTGTATTTATAGCATCAATCACACAACACACCAGTATCAAGACTGTGTATTTATAGCGTCAATCACACAATACTCTCGTAGTATTTCTTCACTTTTGTCTGTCCTTCCTTTATGTTATGAGACATCACTTCTTTCCTCAGCTGACATAGCTCCTTCTCTTTTGCCTGAAAAAATACAATTTGTTAGAATATAGCCGATATCTTGAAATTGCTGTAGACTATTTCAGTACAAGTTTACCTAACCCAAACACTCAAAAATCAATTTCTTCTATCAATAATTGGGTTTGCTATCTGTCCCGGGCTATACAATGAGTATAGTCTGATAGTCTGATACTAGTGAAATCTTCAGATGGACTAGTGGTTCTAAAACCTGCTAGTCCGACTGACAAGTTAAAATTGGTTATTGCTTATCTTGTTGAATAATATTGTATTAGTAGAATTTGCACATAGACTAGTAAAAACTGGAAACTACTACCCCAATAATCTAGTGGAATTCAAAATTAGTTTCTAGCGCTGCTATTACCTGTGGTTAGCAAAATATTTAATTTTGTTGGTGCATTTATACTGCTAAACAAAACCTTGAGTCCATTTAATATAAAATTCATGTTTTGTTGGTATAGCCCTACTACATTGAAACAAAACCCAAATATTTATATACAAGTGATGATCCATCCCGACCTACATCTATGACCTCGGAGGTAGCCCACTTACCTCCAGTTCCCGGTGAAGCCATAGCTGGTTGTCTCTGCATTCTTGTTGGACTTCCTCTCGGATTATTTGCCGCAGCTAGAAGATGGAAACAAAAAACATATTAATAAAGGCACAAATAATGTGTGTGTAAATATATATATTTTGTGTAGCAGAACTAGACTGAATCGATCGTCGGCGATCACGTAGCTGAATTGGTAGGGCGTTTCGGAGGGTCCCAGGTTCGAACCTTAGTCTGGCCATTGCATTTCTCTTTCTCCTGTTACAGTTGTATAGCAAAAACTTTTCTTTCATATATTGTCAGATTTATTAACGAAATAAGGAAATTGTTGATTTTGTAAGCCACTCCTTCCAAAAACATGTTCGTAGTACACCATACCGGGTAGTATAATTTACTCAAAAATCTGTACAATCTACTAGAACTAAAATTTTGCTCTTTTTTTCTTTTCTTTTTTAAATTGTTTCATCTTGATTTATATGGAGTTTTATTTGACATATTGGTTTCCTAGACATACTTTTCACATTAGGTGGCCATTTTGTATGTTTGTCACATGACATGTACACAGCCTGCAAATCACATGACTCCTTTGGAGAAGAAACAAAACTGACTACAAATTGAATGCAACCTATTGACAAGGGAGTCTTGGAATTCATTGAAAGGAGAACCTACTCATTGAGAAGGGAGGTAACTTACATCTTGCATGCTGCCTGAAGCCAGACTTGAAGCATTCGACATTGCAGGAGGCTCTGACACCTTCTGTTTGATGTCCCACAACATCTGGGAGACCTCCGGCCACCATGGTACCTGCTGTGTTGGCTGGAACGGCGGGTCAAGTTCAAGCTCCATCTTGGATTTATAAATTTCCTGCTGATACATTTGTTCCCGGAGGAGATTCACCATCTACAACAGCAGTGACATTTGTGTTCAAAATTACTATAGGAGGCTTATACAGTTAAGTCTTGTAAATTGTCTGGACAGCAGAAATAAATGAATAATAGCCAGACAGAAATATTTCAAAATGATGTTTTTGTGTCCTGATAACTATGTCTGCAATTGTTAGGCACATAATTACACTTTCAAACATTTTCACTATGATCGCAGGTTATGTACATTCTCCGTAATCAATGACATTGACTGCATATTTCTCAGTTATTCACATCTACTGTTTAAACATCTATATTTACATTTCACTGTGTGCCTCTATTAGCATTACCAGAAGAAACTGTTAAAAGACCTATGATCTAAATTTGATCAGCATCATTTTCAAGCTTCTCCTCCCGCCTCATATAACATGACATAACCGTTAGAAGCAAACATTTTGATGACGTTAGACTGTTCCAGGAATCTCGTTTGCACTGACGACAGAGACTTCAATATTGAAAATATCAGGGAATGTCTTTATTAAGGTCAATATAAACAAAAAATATGGAATGTTTATATAAAGCTTGAACGGCATTTTTTCAATGATTATTCATGCTGGTATGAATGCAAATCGGTTACATACATATTGACCAGGAAGCCCTTCAGTCCTTATATATGACCTTTTCGTTTTTATTGAGGTAACAATTAACAAATCCTCTGTTATCGATGACCTTTGACCCTAGTGATCAATACTATTAGACCCCACACCTAGTTGCAAATAATAACCTTGACCCCTACCTTGTGTACGACCTCAAGCACTAGGAGGGGTTGGAACCTGTCGTTTCCCACTTGAGTAGCAGCCATTCTGTTAGCCAGGTATTGTTCCATCGCTGTCACCTCCTTCCGTACCTCCGTCCACAGGTGTTGTAGTTCATCCAGCTCAGTCCTTCACACAGAAATATACAACATTTCATTTCAGGCTCAAATATTTCAATTTCTACGTCAAAAAACATCCAACATCATATAACATTTCTACTCAATTAAACATGCTTAAACTGGTTTCTTCCATTGGACTTTGTTATAAACATCTTTTACTGTAAACCAACTGTTTCCGGGGTTTTTAACACTATAAAGAAATCTGTGCAATGCTAAACCTGGCACTTCCCATTTGTTAATACGACTTGCTGAAAAACGCAATTAACCTGAAAAAATATTATCCAAGCCAACCCCGCAATGTCTTACTTTTCATCTGGAGTCAGCTCATCCCAGGCGAGCTGCTTGTTGACGAGGAAGGTTGTCTCCAGAATGTTAAGCTCCAGCTTGTACCGATGAAGGGCGTACTGGACAAGTTGGGTCTCCTCCTGTAGAAGCTGGAACAAGATTTCTGATTAGGTTTAACAAATCAAACATTTCTGTGGACAACATTCCAATGGTAGAATTACTCTGCGAGGACAAAGGATATATCAATTAGATTTCACAATTACTGAGACACCAGGAGATCCATGAAGACACTATTAGATCCATGGAGACACTATTAGATCCATGGAGACACTATTAGACCCATAGAGACACTATTAGATCCATGGAGACACTATTAGACCCATTAAGACACTATTAGATCCATGGAGACACTAGTGGACCCATGGAGACTCTATTAGACCCATTAAGACACTATTAGATCCATGGATACACTAGTGGACCCATGGAGACACTATTAGATCCATGGGGACACTATTACATCCATGGAGACACTACTGGACCCATGGAAACACTATTAGATCCATGGAGACACTATTAGACCCATATAGACACTATTAGATCCATGGAGACACTAGTAGATCCATGGAGACACTATTAGACCCATAAAGACACTATTAGACCCATAAAGACACTATTAGATAAATGGAGACACTAGTGGACCCATGGAGACACTATTAGATCCATGGAGACACTATTACATCCATGGAGACACTACTGGACCCATGGAAACACTATTAGATCCATGGAGACACTATTAGACCCATGGATACAATAGTTGACCCATGGGGACTCTTTTAGATCCATGGAGACACTAGTGGACCCATTGAGACACTATTAGATCCATGGAGACACTATTAGACCAATGGAGACAATAGTTGACCCATGGGGACACTTTTAGATCCATGGAGACACTAGTAGGCCAATAAAGTGGTTATATGGAGAAGTCATTAGACCCATTGCAGATATAAGTCTTATATGGTTATGATCATGGACCATTTCATTTTCGCAGACAGTCTTTTTCATCTACTTTTATATATAATGTTTTAGTAGTAAATCGGTCATCAGACCTGTGAATGTTAAGGGCTTGACATTCTCTACCAAGAATATTACCATGAGCAATAGACTCTATTTCATCATTGAACAACACTGGCACTACCAGCTAAACTGTCTGTTATGTGGTCAATGAGGTTAAGAAGGATATGTAATCTTGATTAGGGAGCGACTTACCAGCCGTTGCTGAATGGAGGGCCAGGTTTTGATGGGATGTTTTGGCTGGTACTTCGTCGCTGGTACAGAACCCCTTGTTTCCTGCTGTAAAAAACAAAGGACTTGACTTCAAAAAACAAAGGATGCGACTTAAAACAACAAAGGACTCAAAGGACTTGACTTAAAACAACATGGATGTGACTTAAATTAACAAAGGACGTGACTTAAAACAACAAAGAATGTGACTTAAAACAACAAAGGACGCGACTCAAAACAACAAAGGACGCGACTTAATTCTGATTGGATGGTATTGATCACATGACTGGGGCAATAAAACAGCATGTTGCCTTCACACGTTTAAGTCTCCCCAATCATATTTCCCTTATGCGAACCCTCTCTAGACAAAATGGGCAAGAGCCACCACAATCGCATTACAAATGATTGAAGCAGACGACAACATTGATCTGTCAACCTAATCATTTTTAATTATGGGTTATTGTTTTATTTTGGTTCATTGAAAGCCAATCTTAACTGAAATAAGATTGGTTTACCTGACCTGTGACCTGACCTGTGACCTGACCTGTGACTCGTTTGATGATGAATTCTTACCTGAAACGTGACTGGTTTGTTGACGAGCTGTTTGAGTTTGATGTATTCGATTGATTCATCTGTTCCACTTGATATACTACCATCCAATGATGTGTTAACGCTGTGGTTGAGATCTGCAAAACGACAGTGACGTTCTCTATCTGAGTCAAAATGACGCTTACAGTCTGTATCTGAGTCAAACTCACGTTTGTATGGCATATAAAGAGATTCATCAGAAGACGAGATCTTGGATAACCTTGATCTATGTTTCGTTGTTATGCTATGTTGGTGAGCTAAGTAAGAATGTTGTCTTTCAGGTTGATTCGGAGTAGAGGCCCATTCTGGGCGTACAGGTCTTTTAAAAGGTGTTGACTCCAAAGGATTAACGGAAGCACTAGAATAAATTGATCCATAACTCCCGTTCATGTCCGGGCCCACAGTGTCCATATTTGGAGATAATTGGGACCCATTGTCTTGATAGGAAAGGGAAATAACTCCCTTTTCAGTACCCGCACCTGACAGCTGTCCCGATTTTATCCATTCCCGAGGCAATTCGATGGTCAACAAAACAGATCTATCGGACAGAGTCTCGTTTCCAGAGTCGCACTGGTCTTGCAGGACAGTTGGGCTCTTCTCAAATCCCAGCGTCGAGTCTGGACTTATAAAGGTGTCGTCTGTGGAGATTGATGCATCTTTTCTTAAAGCCTTTTTGTGACTGGGAATAACGAACACCTGACGAGGGGTCGCATTGGTTGACCAGAAACTAGGCGAATGGGGTCTGTCTGGAACGTCGTGAAGAACGGTAGCACTGCTCTGATTGGTCTGGTCACTCTCCGCACTACTGCCCATGTTGGACACCTACCAACATACCAACAAAAGTATAAGATATATCACATCATTCCTGATAGGTGTTAACATTAATCATTTATCTTTTTGAAATTTCCATGGGGGAGATTCTGCATGCTCAAAATTAAAACATCAATAAAATGTGTGTATACCCCTTACAGACAAAATAATTCTTTAAATGACACATTTTGAGTTGTTCTTTCAGATGAAATCATTAGATCTTAGAATAGAGGAATAGTGTCACAAATTCATTGGTAGAAAATACTAAATTTAAAGGTCCAAAACCGAGAGTCTCCCTCCTACATAGGGAGGGTTGGCAAGTATGCAGTAGATATCCATTTTATGAAGGATGTGAATTTTCAGCCTTTTCCACCACAATTTACCAATTTGACACTGCGATGAATTTGGCTTACAATACTACTTAATTTACCTTAATTCATACTGGAGGTATACATGCCTCCCTTAAAGTACCATGTGATCACCAAAACACATTAAGTTGTATAAAATAAACCTGTCCAACAATATTACATTGAAAGATTATGCACTTGTCTCAAAGTAAAACAATATGTTATTCACTACCTATACCTCAGAACCTTTTAAAGTAAAACAATATGTTATTCACTACCTATACTATACCTCAGTACCTAAAATATTCAGGTACACAAGAATTCATTTGACATATCGCCTCACTTTCACATTTTATGACCTTTTTCTCCAAAACTATTCGGAAAAATTCAGATTTTGTTTACATGGTACTGAGGAGATTCGTACCTTTTCCTTCATGTCAATGTGGTCTACTTCAGCAAAGCCACTACTGTCCGACTGGACGCTCTCCATCCTTCCCAGAACCTCTGTAACATCAAAACAGCCTTGTTACTTGTCAATTATACATACAACTGTTAGATAAGGTCATTTAGCATGCTTTTACAACCCAAGATTTCAGTGACATTGTGAATAATCATCGATATTTCAACAGACACAGAAAAATATAATAACGAACATTCTGAGTTTGACTTTAGCAAAGCTCAAACTTGATTTCTAAAAAGTACTTACTAATGGCCCAGCTGGAAAAAAAGCAATGTAAAAATTCCATTAAGCTTGTCTATCAATTAAATTTACTAAAATGAGCAAACAATACACAGGAATTTTGTTTGATTACAGAAGTCAAATATGATAGTAAATATTGAAGAGTCTCAAAAACTGTAAAAATTAGCAAGTACAGTACGGTGTAGATAAATAGTCTTTGTATACATATACAATGTGTACATCAGTTGGCCAGAAAAAGGCCTGAATCATTATCACCTAGCATACCATTTACTGGTGATCCTCTGTGTACAGTGCAGTAATCCCAGAAACTTATTAAGTTTAAAATAATCACACTCTGTCAATTTCCTGCTCAGCTTCATTCGTTACAATATATAATCCTGTTGCATTTATAACACATTCTGGACATATATATTATATACATGTACACTAACAAGTCGACATTAACGTCATGGTGGTTTAACTCATTCACCCCTAAAATTTCATAATGAACTATTCCAACCTNTGACTGAGTTCACATGTGTCTTCAGTGGTGAATGTGTTAATGTCAATTGGGTTTTTAGTTTCGCGTTATAATTATTGAATTTGTACAGAACAACCTTTTCCATATCTAACTTTCTGTATACCGTGTATGTGTTTGAATTTTGAGGCAGCTAGTTGACATGGCAACGCATATATTTCTATACACTGTATTTTTTTCTCTTTTTTTTCCTGGAGAATTTTTTTTCCGGCAATGGGTTTGACTTAAATGTCGCAAGTTTTAAACTTGTGAGACACAGTGAGTAAGGTCCATTTTGACAAGTCTTGAATATGTACTTGGAAATAGCCTGAAGACATGACAGGGCAGTCCAGCAGCAACAAAGAATTAAGATGTCTAAAAGGAAACAGACCCACACAATCCAGAAACCCTTAAAGATAGTCCAGACAGACACACAGACTAGATAGAAAAGATCATCTTACTCACACAAATCCTTCAGGAAGAAATTTAGGTTGGTAGATAGATGGACAAAGTTGATGAAAAAATACTAAACATCCTGCGTCACATTGACGCAGTACAGAATCATACAAACATTCTGTATGATTGTGTCGCTTAAGCACAATATAATACTATCCTCAGTATCCAACAATAGAAAAATTATATTATATACATCAGAAATCCTATGATGAGTGTTAGATTGGGATAGATAGAGAATGCCTTATCACAATAGATGTCAACATTGAATGACCTACAATACATACCTCGCATACCGCCCAAATCAATAAACACTCCTACAGGTTTATGTATAACTAGACATTTGTATATATACTCCAATAAATGCCCCTTCTGTCATCGATCTGTCAACAGATTGTTCTGTACATATGTATGTGCTGTAATGGTTCTAAGTAAACGCCCTTCTTCCAATTATCACTTACACGTACTTCACCTCAAAGAATAAAATTATCCAGTTTTAACCTATTTTTTTAATTATCAAACTTGAATATATAACCTGGACCCTAAATTATGCTTTTACATATTTTAGATTTTTACCTTTTTCTGAAATCTGAAAAATATATATATTTAACATCGAACCTAAAAATATTTAGTTTTTGTGCATGTTAAATTATTCATGAATTGTATTTTTTTCTTTTCTTTTTTCTATCTTTTCTTGATTTGTTTCATTTCAAATAATCCTTACTTACATTTTGTTATGCGTGTTAATAATTACACAGTCTGTAAACAGAACTGACAATGTATGTGTTTAAATATCTATTTATCACAGCATGCCATTTCAAAACATATTGTCATCCTTTTTATCAAAAGACAGTCGATGAATTTGCTGAATTAAACATCAAGACCAATTAAAAATTGATGATTATAAATAAGAGAGATTAAATTGTAGTTTTCAGCATTGTAATATTTTTAAAAGAATTTTACACCCAGAGGCTGAGACACATTCATCTATTTAAAACATAATTTTATGATTCCCAAAAACTGTAATACCCTGTGAACCTATGATAACTACAACATTTAATTACTTTTATTGAAAATTAGCGAAATTGGATTGATGAAATCAAAGATTTCTGAATGATAGAATACTTTCAGTACAAATCTCAATTTACATGTACAGACAACCAAATTAATTCTGGAGAAAAAAAAACCAATTACAGGTAAGAACAGTATCAGCCAATCAGAATCTGTGATGCAGTAGCCATATGGGTGTTATTCCAGCTAGTAATTGGTCTTAAATTGCAAAATTATAAACACACTTTTAAAATTTTGTTGCACACCTTTAGAATAAAGGTATGAGAAATAGACTTGTCTGTTTCAAACTTATACTGTAGGCCTCACTTGCCTGAAAAATTAAATGTGCCAATGTGTCCTGTTTAATAAAATTATTTATAAATTTATTTAAAAAATATTTGAAATGAAATTTTGATATATGCAATCTATATGCCAGAATATTTTTGCTGCAGTTTAATTTTTCGCATTTATCATTACAACAAATCTAAGTAAACAGCATAATACACATAATAATTACATGTGAAGGGTGAAATTGACACTAGGTGAAGATTGATATCATAAGTGAATGATGAAAGTTTGACAGGGCAAAAACTTCCCGGTATACATGCATATATTAAATATTTGATACTGACCATTTGTCTGTCCCATAATGGTATGTAAATAGTCCTTGGTCCAGCTACACAGAGTCTATATTATTCTAAAATCCACCATTGATACCAAAAGTCCACAAATGTCTTGTCTTTGTCAGTTAAGTCCAGTAATTAATGTATTACAACAGTTCTACAACTCCTGTCGTCCACCGTCCACTAACTGGTCAATTTGTTCACAACCTCACCATATGTCGAACTGTCCAATTTATATAATTAGGTTGACTTTGTAGTGGGGTAATTGTAATTTCTGTCATAACATGGATTTTTATCACTCACACAAACAGCAAGGTAACAAAATCACTCTGACATTTAACTCAATAAAGGAAAGTCAGTGTTCAGTGATAGGAAACAAGCTGGTCTGTCAGACACCTAAGGAATCAACAGGTTTCTGTGAAAGGCCAATCATTGTTACTCAATGGTATCAGAAAGATCTAAAGTAAATAGCCGCTGTCCCCATCACAATGTATTCTGGACAGAAATACAGGTATTTATTCAAAACATTAGGGGGGCTACTTATTCCTAGAAAGTCCTTTTGAGTATAACAACAACATACATCTGTCACCCCAAGCCCAGAGGGTCTGAACAATGCAAAGCCACCCGCCATCTAATTACCCCTAATTCTACTAACAAGCAGCTGGCTGGACAGTCCAAGCCTCGGTCACTGACCCTTGTTTAATTATAACACCAGGGCCAGTGTGATTAAATGTACCATCAGTAGCACTTTGTAATACATGTATATACTTGTAATTAAGGACTACAAAGGGAACCAGTGCATGAATTTGTTGTTCTAGTCTATTTTTCAGTTTCATTTTCCACATTTAGCTTACCAGTACAAGTACCAATTAGCAGCTAGAAACCAGTAAAGTGTGAGTTTGTTGTTTTAAGTCTATTTTTTAGAAACCAGTGAAACAAAATAAATACCCGAAAAGTTTAGAATTATTCTTAGAAAATTATGTATACGTTTGCATATTGAAACAGGCAGATATTGAAATGTTATTTGAACAGAGATATTTTAACTCATGTAATTCAGTAAATGATGACAGATGTTGAAGATGCATACCACTTCATTTTAATATATATGCCTTTCAAAAATTAGGAAGTCAATACTTAAAAGATATTCCTGGAACAAATTTATACAATGACTGTGTGTTTACAACACCAAGGCTCTGTGTCAAACCTGGTGAATATATCTTGGAAGCAAATACGTTGAGCTTTTAACCGTTTCACCACTGTAGACCATAATGGACACATCCATATCAATGCAAGGTAGAGTCTACTAAAGTTATATAGGGATGAAAGGGTTAATTATATATACTCCACCCTTCACTTTGCACTATTTGTCCTCTATTATGTATTATAATGTGTATGAACTAATTGGTCGAGAGGCCTAAAATTAAGAAATTAATTAAATTATAAACATTTTGTATGGTAATTTTGAAATATTCATAACATTAGATAACTTTGATATTACAGCTGCAGACAACTTAAATTTTAGATATAAGATTTTGTCATTTAATTCAAACTACTTAAAAAAAAAATATATCAGTACTCTGCACAAATCAAATTTAAAATGTAATACATGTAGGTATTATAACAGATTTATAAAAAAACTTTGTACAAAATTAATGGGAATCAATGAAAAAACATTATCACATGATTCAATTAAGTCCAAACTTATTGTTTCTAATGCTTATATTTCTGCTAAAAATAAGAACTGCTTATTCAAGAAATAAATCATTTAATAGAGCTTGTCAAATTAAATATTGTCACTTTCCTTTTTAAATTAGCCAACTTTTTCTGCAAGGAGTACAAATTTGAAGTGTACTAGTTATATAGTATAACAGAGACTGACTTAGTGCCTGATAAGATCAGATAGGCATGTCAGACCACCACCACTAGTCAGCTTGTCAGTCGTGTCAAGTTGACAAGCATGCATGGTTAGCATAATGATACAGATCTTGTACAATTCAGAGATACAAATCTGACAATGGGTACAACATTGACCCTCGGGGGTATAACATTGACCCTCGGGCATATAACGTAAACCTTGAAGGGTTTTTTCCTTATTTCTAACAGCTGATATTTAATATCTCACTGCATGCATGGTTAAAAACATACACATTCTTCTCTGTTGTACTGATTTCAAATACAATGCAAGAGTAAAGATAAAACTAAGAAGTGAGAAAGTCTGTAGTAAAGGCAAAAACCAAGGTCACTCAATAAAAGGACTAGATGTTAGATCTTTAGGTGAAATAAAGGTCACAAAAGACAGGTAGATAATGGGTGGTGTTTAAGTACAGGTAAAACTATAGTCGCATGCAATGTGTGAAAGACAGCCGAAACATTCTAGAAACACCACAGACTTACCTGGGAGAAGTGCTTACACCACCGATTTACCTGAGAGAAGTACCTACACCACAGATTTACCTGGGAGAAACACCACAGATTTACCTAAGAGAAACACCACAGATTTACCTGAGAGAAATGCCACAGATCTACCTGGGAGAAACACCACAGATTTACCGTGGAGAAACACAACATATTAACCTGGGAAAAACACCACAGATTTACCTGGGAGAAACACCACAGATTTACCTGGAAGAAACACATTGACATCAAGAGGGAGTACCCTCCACCATTCCTAGGCTACACAGATGTGTGATCCACCAGACACATCAGCGTTTATTTACCATTACTGGTTGTTATGAGAGTGAAGCTTCACTAGAGGTTGTCATATGGTATTCAGACTATAGTACATAAAGAACAGAATTCGCTCAACCACTTACCTAAGTTAGCTCTGGGGTCTGTTCCTTCATCACAAGTCTGCCTAGATCCATCCACAACCTAAAATGGCAGACAAGAGTTTCCATAAATAATCATGTTTACTGTAGTGTAACTATAAATAATCTTAAGTAATGATGATTAATTATGGATACACCTGTAATGTCTATATATCATACATCAGTCAGCATGAACTCATATGTACATGGAGCTAAGTTAACATGAATATGTGGGTATATGATTTACGTTTATTTCATGCTTCAAGTTTCCACATAATTTCCTCCATACAGATCAGTATTATAACAAAACCAACACAAATTAAATTTCAGTAAAATCAGGATGTCAACGAGTGAAAATATCTATATTTACAGCCCAAGGTTATAAAGTGTATCCAAATGAAAGTGGGTGGGGATAAATTCTACCTGTTTCATGACATCATAATTTTGGCTGTGCTATTCTGCACAAGGTTGTAACCCTAAATTGGGTGACAAGCTGCTTTCCAGCTGAAACTGGAGACACACCTGTGAAAGGTTGGGAAAACCTGAGGCGGAAGATTTTTAAGTTGTCAAACACGAGGCTTTGGTAAAATGATTCTTTTTCTCTTACCCTGTTCATGCATTGTGTATCATATAAAAAAAATTAATGTTAACGCCACAGGCTAAATTCTGGGTTGATGTGACGTTGGTGTATTGTTGACGTGACGTCATACCATTGTTATGTTTAGGGGAATACCCTAAGGTCTCAACCCTAGGGTGAGATAAGGATATCTCACACCGGTAAAGTTATGGATACACCTGTTCGGGGTAAGAGAAATCCTTGCCTCATCCTAGGGTTGAGACGGGGATGTTCCTCTATTCATAACAATGGTATAACCTCACATCAACAATACAATGACGTCACGTCGACAATCCATCAATGTCGCGCGAATTGGCTAATTTTACCTTGTAAGGTAACATTACAATGTCATCATGTATACGATACATAATGGGCGAACAGGGTAAGAAAAAAAGGATCATTTTGATGGTGAGATAAGGGAATCTCAACCCTTGGGGAAAGATTCTTAAGTTGCCAAATACGAGGCTATACCGAGTGGTGCCAAGTGTTTGGCAACTTAAGAATCCCACCCCCCCCCACCCACCCCACCCCCGCGGGTTGAGATTCCCCTATCTCACCCTCAAGTGGGTGTGAGATTCTATTAACCCTACACCCAGATTTATCGGGAATAGAGGTAACCTACCTTTATAGCAGTCCTATTGTCTTGACGATTTTCCGTCCTTTTTCCTGTGAGTTTGTCTGTCTGCTGTCCTCTGTCACACACAAAAACCGGCTCCACCTCTTCCTCACCTGTGACAGGTGTACTGACTTCGTCCGTTTTTTCTTTTAAAGCATTTGAAGTAAAATATACTGTTAGCACATCTTTAATAGCGTTCATGTCCATGTTTTTAGATTTTGGACGACTAGGACCTAGATCTGCCATTACCAAGTCTTCAGAAGTCACAGGACTAGTATGTGAAGCCACCGTATCATAGTCTTTGAACTTCACCTGACTACGACTAAGATCTGAATCTTTCGTGGGCTCCAGATTTTCATTATCAATAAATGTGTTTTCACTGTCTTGATTGGTCACTTCGAAAGATGTAAGATCATCACTGATTGGTTCAGTGTCAGTATCTCCCAAAAGTGTACATGTTGAAGACTTTGTGGATAATTTATGTAACTGTTTAGCGGTTAATGTATGTTCCAGACTAGATTGGGTGGAAAGCGGAGGGGTGACAAGATAATCACCATCCACATCTGGAAACGATGTTATTATTTCCATTTCCTGTTTGCGGAGATTTGTGATTGCTCGGTCCTCAGCCATAGGTAAAGGAACTGGAAGTATGAAGCCTGATCCGCGACGGCCATTATTACCCACACCGCACGGCGCCATAAGATCTCTCCGCCCATGACCAAGATGGCCAGAATCTACACTATCAAAGGAATCAGTTGAGGTTTCAACACTAGTGAAATTTCCAAAACTGTCAAAACTTTGGGTTCCTGTCCGATTTTCTGCCTTGGGCGATGTCAGCTCATCAGCTTCCTCTTTTAAGTCGGATAACGAGCGATGCTGCGATCTCCGCGTTTTTCCAAATGCTTTTCGACGTTCCGTGGCATCCATAGACCATGACTTGAAGAGTTTATGTGCCGAGGTAGTTGTGGGCTTAGGCGAAGAAGTAGATGTAACACTTTTAGAGTAGTAAAACCCTTGATTGGCTAAAAAGTCACGATTTTCAGCATTCAGAATACTGTGAACCCCATCGTTTTCAACGTCATAATTGGACGTCATGCGACTTGGTGACTGTAAGGCATGCAAGAACTTCATGCTGTTCATAACAGAACAAAACGTGTTGCTCATATGGGGACTACCTAAATAGGAAACCAAACAAAAACAGGGTAAGTCAACTAAAAACAAAGACAGGCAAGTCAAACAGCTAGATAGAATGTAGTAAAACTCTAAATGCATTTTTAATTTTCAAATTACTATTTTTGAATTTGATTTTCCAAAGATTAGTGCATTTCAATATAATAAGAGATACATTTATCAAATTTGAACCAGGATTTTCAACGTTTTATATTTCTTGATAAATTATGTAATAAAAAAGTTATCTCTAAATTGATCAATTTACATAGCCAGTTGTTTTCCTAGATATTAAACTCTTTTCTTGTAAAATTTTATTTTTTTCGTAAATTTCGTTAATGCAGTAAGTCGACAAAATAAAACAGACTAAATGTTAAAAACAGAATTAAAACATTGGATTTAAAAAACAGAATTAAAATTACATATACCTAAATACCGGGTAACAAAAACACAAACAAGCCATGCAATGCAACAATATGGGATTAATCAAGTTGTTTCAGATCGGAATGGGAGAATATTTCACCCTTTCACCACTGTAGACCATAATAGACTCATCCAGATCAATGAATGGTAGAGTCTACTTAAGGTACATAGGGGTGAAAGGGTTGATGTCATCACAAATTTGGTTTGTCCCCAGTCTTAATTTTTTTCCAATGTTTTTACTTGTTAATGGATCCATGTCCCAATGCAAGCAAAACACTTAAGAATTCCACTGTCACACAGTTACCTCCCCTTTAGAATTTGCGCATGGACCAGTAAAATTGGAAACTACTCTAACAACTGACTGGAGGTTTTTAAATTAATTTCAACCCCGATGATTTATCAAAGCTATACTCATGACGAAAAAAAGTTTCTAAAACTAATAACAATTTTTGGCTGCGTTACGCAGATCCTTCGATTGCCTTGTTTGTATGTCATAAATCAGGCATTGTTTATGTAACAATCGTTTTTTACCAAGCTCTAGTTGATATCACACAGAACTGCCTGTTTCAACCCACATTTTGTCGACCTAGGTGGAGAACTTTTGGTTGCTACATTGATCAGATATTGGCTAACATCCTCAATCCAATGTTTAATGTAGCCATTATACCGCGTTTCGATGAAATGACCCAATCACAGCCATTCAGGAAGTAATGTACGCCGAAAGGCCAAGCAGAAACAATTTTACGTTTTAAACCCAGCCGTATTCATCAGAATATGAAATACATTAAAATTGGTCGGTTCTATTACTTTGTAGACTGCGTAATGTAACTCTCCAATTTTGTCTCTTTATAACAGAGAAACAGAAGATTTCACTATCGTCACCCCATTCGTCTCAACCTGACATGCCATTCATTCATCCCCAAATAATCTTATATTCACCGGGTCGGAGGCACATTCCGTCACAGACTGATTAGTTAACAACAATTAACTGCAAATGTGTCGGGTATTGTATTTTTAAAGATATCAAAATTTGAAACAAAAACTACATATACCATTGTGTAGGGATTCAAAACTACAATAACAAGCAAAATGAACACAAAAAGAAAGAAAATGTCACAAAATTCTCAAACATTGTACCTTGAAAATTTTGCATTAACAAGTCATAAAGCTCACCAGTCTTTGATCCCTTATATTTAAAATTTGGCCTGAAAACATTTAACTCATTCACCCCTGAAGACACATTTGAACCCTTCCATTTCAAAGGTTGGCATAGTTCATTATGAAATTTCAGGGGTGAATGAGTTAAAGACAAGGAAGTACAAAGCTTACATAACATCAGGGCATAATACTGAATCAAACAAACAATAAAATCAGAATGGATGATGTATGGTATGCAGGTTAATATTACAAGCTACCCAGGTATTATTATACCCAAACAAATAAACAGGACAAAATCACACCATTACATGTATTATACCATTTAGAAAATAAAAGAATTTTTCGTCCGGTTATTGCGATGTACAATAGTGACAACAAGATAAAATGGAATAAAAGAAAAACAAGCTATACAACATAGGAACAGCAAAAACACTGTAAAACATGCAAATGAAGTACTGAAAAGTCAACAGATTTATTTTATACAAACTCTATATACTGATAAGTAAGTCTAAAATTGTCTTCAGTTTTGACGTAACCAATCACAAATAACGTTACGAATAGTGACTCCATACATGATTGGCTAAGCAAAAACTGCAATCTAAAAGTGTTTCATGATCCTGGGGCCAGAAGTTGGATAAAAATTTGCATTAGATATGTTAAATTTAAAACTAAATTCAAAAGGAAATATTCAAACACATTTTTATAATATATAAGAACAACAAAGCAATTAAACAATTGATCTAGCTGTTTCTGAAAATCCATTGCAGCTGTGTTATGTTTTTATTACAATTTCTGATACAGTTAGCCATTTTTCATAATATCTAAAACAATGCATTGGATTAAATATCCAACAAACACACAGGGTATTCATGCGTTAAAATTAAATATTTAAACCAAAATAAAAACAAATCAATATCTAATGCCTTTATAAAAGCCATATACCAAAATGCAAAACAAAACACCAGAATAAAATATACAAACAAAATAAACATGAAATTATTTGAATTATTTATGTAAAACCAACAACATCAATCATATGAACAAATTAGCTTGCTACTATTCAATTAAACTCAAATTAAACGTTATAAGTTTATTTGCTTTATTGGTCAACATGCTTACTTCAAACTCATATTTTAATTGGCCGCCTTGCTAACTGCTACCCCACATTTTAATTGTCATCATTGCTTACAGCAACCCTACATTTTAATTGGCATTTATTGCTTATTTCAACCCCATATTTCAATTAGCATCATTGCTACAGCAAACCCATATTTTAATTTGCCTACTTACTTATTGTAACCCCACATTTTTATTGGCCTCCTTGCTTACTGCAACCCCACATTTTTATTGGCCACCTTGCTTACTGCAACCCCACATTTTAATTGGCGACCTCATTTACTGCAACCCCACATTTTAATTGGCTACCTTGCTTATTGAAACCCCACATTTTAATTGGCCACCTTGCTTTTTGCAACCACACATTTTAATTGTTCTGTTTGCTTACTGAAACCCCATGTTTTAATTGGTTCCTGCAACCCAACATTTTTCTTGGCCACTTTCCTGCTATCCACATTTTTCTTGGCCACCAGCTAGCTTGCTGCTTAATTATATATATATATTAAATGTTTTTGCTTCTACTTTTCAAAAAAAAAAAGAAAAAGAAATTACACTCCAATAGATACACAATTGAAACATACAAATGTCAGTAACTTAATTTTTTTCAATCATAATATCCTTAGATGTCCCGATCCATTTCAGTTTGAAATATTTTGCATTGTATACAGTAGTAAATTGTTATTAAAACAAACACCTTATCCGACCAAATAAAAACATTTAAAAGCCAATTAGTTAAAGTAAATTACCTCAGTGAACCTGAGTAAGGAATAAAACAAAAAGTTGTGGTGTCATTAATACAAACAAATACAAAACCATGCTTCCATGTTAAAAAGGGATCTATAATATGTAATCTTAGTACAAATGCAATTGACTCATTCACCCCTGAAATTTCATAATGAACTATACCAACCTTTGAATTGGAAGAGTTCAAATGTGTCTTCAGGGGTGAATAAGTTAAAGAACACTAAAAACAAACAAAACAGTTTATACACAAAATGAATTCTACATGCTTATTGTCTAGGATTTAAATCCAAACAAGTCATACCTTTACCATAAGTAGCTGATCACACTTATTTGAAAAGGTTTGCATATCCAGTCGGGATCTTATGGAATTCTGTCCCCTTCCTTTAAACCTTTCGATGAGCAATTGTATGTACTCTAAACAGACATTTTCTTTTCATTTAACTCATTCACCCCTGAAATCTCATAATGAACTATACTAGCCTTTGAATTGGAAGAGTTCAATTTTGTCTTCAGGGGTGAATGTGTTAATAGTGCTCTGTTTACTCCCAAGTCTTTGTTGCAGTGTACGTACCACAGGTGTCAATCACTGAAACCTCCGACGAGGGAGATCTCTCTCATTCCTCATTTCTAACGAGGGAGATCTCTATCATTTCACATTTCTAACGAGGGAGATCTCTCTCATTCCACATTTCTATTGAGGGAGATCTCTCTCATTCAACATTTCTAACGAGGGAGATCTCTCTCATTCCACATTTCTAACGAGGGAGATCTCTCTCATTCCACATTTCTAACGAGGGAGATCTCTCTCATTCCACATTTCTAACGAGGGAGATCTCTCTCATTCCACGTTTCTAACGAGGGAGATCTCCCTCATTCCACATTTCTAACGAGGGAGATCTCTCTCATTCCACATTTCTAACGAGGGAGATATCTCTCTCGTTCCACTTTTCCAATGTGGGAGATCTCTCTCATTCCACATTTCTAATGTGGGAGAAAGTGTGTGAAACACAACTGAAACTGCTTTTCTCAATTTATCTTCCCTTTTTAAGTATCAAATTAACTCCAAAAAACATTCATTTGATTCACACACACCTGTTATGATCAAAACACACACCCTGCAGTAACTAGAAGACCATTTGACCACAGGATGAAGATTTTGAGTTTGTATGAATTTTCACTTGAATTAGGGAATTTAGAGGGAGATTGGTATTTTTTTTGTTAAAAAGAGGAAGTCTCCCTCCTAATGAGGGAGGGTTGAATTGACAGCTGTGGTGTTCCCCAGTATGACAGCAGAAAATAATTTGCCGACTGAAATACTGGTAATTCACAAACCTGAACAACTATGGAGAAATAGACTGACAGTAACGATCTTGCTATCCCAATACACAAGACATTTTATTCAGATATTTTCATATTTAAAACAATTTTCAAAAAGAGGCCCAACGGGCCTGCATCACTCAGCTGGTATTAATCTCACACTTGTATTTTTGAAATTTGACTAAAATAAATCTACAGGCCAAATATCAGTATCAATGACTCTAAGTCATTCAAAAGAATCTGTTTTAAT